ACACACAAACAAACACACACACACACACACACACACACACACATACATATTTTTAAAATGTTTTGTGCATTTATAATGTCGTAATAAAAGTTTCGAATCGTGTCATGAGAAAGATTATTCGTACGAGTCGACACCAGCGCGTTTGAATTTGCCGCGCAGCTGGCAGCGCGCTCTGTCGGTAGTAGTTACCGACCGCGAGAAGACGCCACTTGTGCAGTTGCAACGTTTGAACGTTCGAACGACTGGCCGATCGACAGGTCGAAATCATCGTCATCTCGTACTCGATCAAATCGAACGTTTTTCCCCCGAGATCCACCACGTTTTCGGGATCGCGTCAAAAGTTTCGTCCGTCGATCGAACGCGTCTGTTGTGCCGATTGTGTGTGAAATCGATTTGAAAACGCGCGATGCGATACGATACGATCGAGAAATCGGACGAATCGCGAGGCTCGCGCAGCGCGGCAATTCCAAAAAAGCTTGCACTCGATGGAAAAACATGGTGTTGCGTGTTACATCCCACGAGAACTATTTCGACTGCGGCCAAGAGGAATCGATCTCGACAGGGGTAAGTTTTGTTTCTTTTATTCTCACGCGCGCACACACACACACACACACACACACACACTTGAATGAATACCAGATAATTTACGAATATATAATTCATTTATTTCGTTGATACTTGATGCGTGCCAGAATATCTCTACGCTATAGTCGATATAAATTGGCTAAGGCTTTGGACTATCTCCCGTATATTTGCGACTCGTCGTCGCGAGACGTTGATCGTTGAAACGTCGGTGTGGTCGAAACGTACGCGTACACACGTGTTTACATTCACAAACTATGTACAACTTTTACGCGTAAACATAACGAGACAAAGAAGGTAAGGAAAGAAGAGGAGGAGAGGAGAGGAAGAAACGTGGAGGGACGAACAGAGGAAAGAAAAGGGAAGAGAGACAAGGTACGAGTACAGAGATCGCGAGATGCATCAATACGTCCCGCGAAGAATCGGCTCGCGCGCGAGCCCGCTCCGGGGTGTTTATGTATGTATGTATGTATGTATGTATGTATGTATGTATGTATGTATGTA